GCAGGCAGCTCCCCGGGTGCACGACTGCAGAAATACCTTCCACCTATGCAGCCTTGCGCACCGGGGGCAAGGAAGCGCGGCACGGGACTGGGACAGGGGAGACATCCCATGCCATGCCCTGCTCCTGCCCAACGGGGCATCTTGGGAAAGCTGTTTCCCTTCTTTCTGCTTTAGTTTTTCCACTGGTAAAATGTTAAAGTTCTGAAATCGACAGTGAAGAGCAGCAAATGGACAGAGACACCCGACTGCTGGCTGTCGGCCCAGGGAAGCCCTTCCAGACAAAGGTCTGGAGCAAAGGCACGGAGGCAGCAATGAAGCACGCAGCCCTGAAGAGCAGCAGCTGGCTCTCTGAGAAGAGGGGCATGGCTGGGGGGGAAAAAAACTGTCCAAAACACGGGACCGCTGCAGCTACCCCTCGGACAGTCTGCTGGTGAGAACCCTCCTCTCCACAGAGGCCATCTGACATGAAGCGGCGAGACAGCCCAGAGCCTGCCGGGCTCCACGTCCCGCTTGGTCACTTCCCTGCCTCACGACGACACCTACGGTACCAACGGGGATGTGTGTCCCTATGACTCAGGCCCTCGCCTTTCCAGGGTCCTGAAGCACAGCGTGCCACACGCCAAGCCCATGCTCTATGTAAAATGCATCTCCGCCACTGGTTTGAGGTTTACCCAAGCAGACCCCAAGGGTGGCACACACCTCTCGTGCCTGTGGACCACCATGGCCTTGGCTGCAGTGGCCCATGTCTGGGAACACGTGGGACAACACACTGCGTCGTCAGTAACAACTTGCTCGACTTCAGGGAGAGGGGAAGATCTAACCGTGCAGTTTGTGCAACCATCTCAGCGACGCTTTTCTTTCAGACAAGTAGCTGCTCACTCCCATTCTGCTCACGCAAGCTCTGCGGGCAACAACGTGCTTACAAGAGGTCCCAAAGAGCAACACCTGCACAAAAGCATTTCAGATCTACAGCCTAGGACATCTTACTACAACGAGGCACGTGGCAGCCTGAGCTCTCTTTGGCAGGTCTGCGGATCTTTGAACAGCACTTCAAAAATACATTGAAGAAGCTGCCCCCAGAAGGCTCCCCTTGCAGGGAGCAGCCTGCCTCCTCCCAGCTCACAGGCTCACAGAGCAGCGGCACTGGATGGCCCCGGGACTTCCTCCACTCCCACCTACTGCTTAGAGCAGAAAGTGCAAGCACGAGCGGGATGAGGATCTGCCAGAGGTGCTCAGTGGGAAAACACCCGCGTGCACACGCTGTGCCCGGTGGGATTGGATCCTTATTCTGAGACAAGCAGTTAAGAAACATTGGAAGTGTGAAAAGAAGCTATGCAGGCAGAGCAGCAACCACGACCCACACCCCAGTCTCTTAGAAGGGGTGCAACTTTCATTCAAGCTATGGACCGTCTCATCTCTTGATGAGAGAGAGGAGATAAGACACACAAAAGAGAACTTCTTTTAAGAGAGGAAAGAGCCATCCGAGAATCAGCTCAACTTCTTCCTCTCTGAGGCAGACCAAAGGACTTCTGACTGAGGGCAGCTAGGTGTGCTGCAGGGAAATCCTGCTCCAGAAGGACTCTGAGATGGACCTCCTTCGCAGCCACATTTAGGGAGCTGACAGCTGTTTCTAGGAAGTTACAGTGCCCCTACTTGCCAGGGCTACCCCAGCCTGCAGAGCAGCTCCACAAAGGCCTGCTTGCAGCACGGTATCTGCTGCCCGTAGTCAGAGCAAAACAGCCTTCCACAGCAGGGAGGTGAAGCCCGTGGGGAGGCAGCTGCCCTGACAAAACGTCCTTGAAGGCCGCTGCCTCCGGGTGGGTCTGGAAGACCCTAACCCCATGCTGGAGACAGGGCAGCACCCAATGGCAGATCCTCTGCAGCCTGCCCAGCTCTCTGATGGCTCAGCAGGGAAAGGGAGCCTCGTACCAAAAGGAACTCATCAGGTTGAGCTCCTACCTGCCGCCAGCCTGGCAGCACGCGTGGCTCAAACCGAGGAGCCGGAGGCCACGTGGCTGCTCCGTGGCTTTCAGGGAAGCCTTGCTGTGAGCAGGGGCCTCCCTGCAAGTCTGGGACTCAGACTGTCCCGAGCCTGTCTGGAGACAGGAAAGCTTCTAGCACCCTGAAATGCAGAATGAGTGGGCACCTGGTCTGCTTGTACTTCTCTGCGCCTAAAAGAGGCCAGGCACTCCATCCGGAGAAGTGAACGTTGCCATGGAGCTTCTCTGGAGGCTGTCCAGCTGATGAACCCTGGGCTGAACGAGGGAGTTCTGCTGTCATGTCCCAGGGGACAGGGGACCACCAGGGACATGGAGAAGCAAAGCAATGTGCCACCCTGCCAGTGACTTCTGAGCCATTAACAGAGACAGCTCCTGCAAACCATGGATTCAACACTGCATGAAGAAGCGTTCTGCAAGTGCTGCGATGAAGGCACAGATGCAGAAAGCTAGGGTTACCAAGTCGAAGAGAATTTGCTGAGACAGCTCAAGTTTAGGATCAGGCATAACAATGCCTGTACAATCAGTACGTAATTGATGCATAATGTGTGAACCATGTCAAAAGAAGAAAAAGATTCAAAGTGTGAGGGAAGAGATGGTCAATGCTGCAACACAGAGAACCTGCTACCCAGGAGGGTGAGCCAGGCAAAGCTGCCAGGAGTCCAGAAACCACTCTGAGGCACTCTCCTGGCTAAGCCCTTGATATTTCAGTAACCTTGTCAGCACATCTATGAAGCTACAACTGAGGGAAGGATTCAGTTCAGAAGAGGCTGTAGAGTTTGAGCTCCTGCCATAGCAGCTGGGACAAACCCTACGGATGTTAGCTGATGGACGCTAAAGCTCCTAGGAAGAAATCTTGCTAAATTGCGGTTTATAATTTACATACTCCCTGTAACCTCGTTTGTAATTTTTGCCTGGCCAGAATAACTTTCCTCGGCCCATAAGTTTGCCTAGTGTTGGAGACAAGTCAAGGTTACCGTCTTTCTTGAGCGACGAAGGACACAAGCATTTGAGCCTGCTGGAGTCCCACAGACACCCACACCTCAGGAAAGGTACTGGGGCCGAAGGATGACCTGCACCAAGCTACAAAGGCTAGTGTGAGGGCTGGGGCCATCCCATGAGTTTGGGGGCAGAGGAGAAATTCCCCTAAAGGCAGACAGCAGTGCAGCCTCTGGCTACACAGGCAATCCTGAGCCACCGCACCTTCAGCTGAAGCAGACTACTCCAAGACTTCAGTAGGGGACCCAGGGACCCAGAACAAATTGCAGGGATGCGGGACAACCCTGACAAGATGTCAGGTCTGGGCAAATACCTCATTTTCGCTCCCGGCAGCTATTTTGCTGATCCACCTGAACAACCACCTATGGTTGCTATCGAAATCTAAGAACACAGCAGAAGCTGAAAACTTAGTAAAAAACATGCAGGACATATCCTTCCCGTTAGTATGTAATGGGTGGATATCGTGAACTTCAAAGAATATCGATGGTACCATAGGGCGCCTGAGCAGGGAAGAACTCAGCTGAAGTTAAGCTCTAGTAACTCTTTGCATAAAAAGGTACGAGGCAGAACAAGGAGTGAAATTTGGGAAGGGCTCTGAACGGAAGAGTGCAAACAAACAGCAGCCACTGACTCAGCCTCTGCACCAGAACAGGGAAGAAGCCAGAGGAGAGTAGAGAGCATGAAATGGAGGGCATCGCGAGCTCAGCGGGCTACGGGCTTCCGTGAGGAAATGCAAGCGCCCGTTGCTTCAGCTGCTGACACACACGCGCTGACTGAACTCTGCTGAAATGCGCTGCGACAGGCAGCGAAGTGCTCATTACCGAGCACAGGTGAGCTGCAGTTTGTGTTTCATTTCACTTGCAAACTTTAAGTTTCCAGTCCTTTCATCTGCTCTTACTAAAGTCTCGGTTAGCACACTTCCCAGTGTCACGGAAGAGCCCGTGCGGGCCCACAGGCCAAGGCCATCAGTGAAGCCATGGCGCTGGGCAGCCCCATGCCAGTAGGGCAGCTGAGCAGGGCCGGGCATGGCCGGGCACCCAGGCAGCGGCGGGGCCCAGCAGCGGCTCCCAAGGCCTCAGGGACTATGCAGTTCACTCCATCAGCCTGCAAAGCTCAACGTGGGGTGCCTGTGTTACCTCCTGCCAGCTGCTGGGAACGAGTTCCCTGGCAGAAAGACAAAATTCCATCCCACAGCAAACAGGCAACGGTGACTCATCCCGCAGCCTGGGGTACTCCTAAAGGCATCTCTGAGTCCCTGAAGAAAGATGGAGAAAGGGGTAGCAACCATAAGGAAATCAGGTGGAATAACTCTGCGAGTACTGCAAGCATCCACTGGCCCGAGAAACTCCCACCCACACCCCGCAGGCAAGGGACAGGTAGCTGCCAGAAGGGAGCAGGGTGGAAGTCAAGGCCAAGCCAAGGAACAGGGCTCCCAAACCCATCTAACCTGCTCGCCCAGTGACTGGTGCGGGCAGGACACAGGAGAGGAGAGCCCGAACCAGCAGGCAAGCAAGAGCTTTCCTTGGGGGCTGCAGGGCCCTGGGGATCCCAAGTGTCTGTTCAAATGGGTGCAGATCCGCATCCCACAAGCTGCTGGGAAAGCCCAAGGGACAGACCTGGCGTCCTCGAGGGCGCGTGCCCGACTCCCAGGGCTGGCCCTGGCTCCTGCCATGCCAGAGGACCAGCGAGATGCTGAACGTGGTACCTGGGGTCACAGACCTGACGAGCATGTCTGGCACACTTGTGAGTGCTGGTGGAAAACCCTGGCCACAGCCGACCTGTTACTACAGCTCCCCTCCTCTCTGCCTTGATGTGAGCAGTGTCCTGTGAAGCACCAGGCACCGCTGTGGAATAAAAGCAAAAAACCCCAGAACTCCCAAAGACAGAAGTAAAACCAGGGCCTTCGGCTGGTTCAAGAACAGTGACATAAAGAGGCTCATCCACTGTGCAGTGA